CCCCAAAACCCCAAAACCCCAAAACCCCAAAACCCCAATTGCTCATGATATTAAAAATAATCAAAAGTTATATAATTTCTTAAATAAAAGAGTAAATGAAGCTCAAAATTGGGCAGAGGATAGGCAAGGGAGGCCAGTCGGAAGTATTTGAAGCCTTTGATGACTCTTATAATCAATATGCAGTCAAGGTTTTCTTTGAGTAAGTTTATAAAGACATTCACTCTGGACTATTTTCAATACCTTTATAGTGAAGGACCCTTTGAAAATGAGGTAGAGGTCATGGAAGCTATTGAAAAGATAGAATCTCCTAATTTATCCAAACTGATAGCCACTTCTAAGTTTGAAGATGGCTCTAATGGGATCGTCATGCCTTTACTAGGCAAAAACTTTAGGGTCTGAATAAAGGCCTCTGAGGATAGAAATAGTACTTCATTAAAATACGCAACACAAATGATTGATGCGGTGGAATCTCTACATAAATGAGGTTATATTCATTGAGACATTAAATCTGAGAATTTTGTAGTTTCTCCAGATATGAAAACCATTATTCTCATCGACTATGGTCTCTGACATAGGTTCAAAGAAAGAGAAGCAATCTATCAAATTTTTACTCAAAAATAACAACCTAAATATCAACATAGAGATGGATGGTTTAAACGAAGGTGGTTTTGAAAACAGGAGGACCATCCCAAAACATTTTAAGGGTACTTTAACCTACGCGTCCCTGAGTTGAATGGACGGGAAGGTTCACAGTTACAGAGATGATCTTGAAAGCTTAGCCTATGTATTACTATATGCCAAATTAGGATCACTTCCTTGGCAAAAACATAGGAAAATAGCTGATACTGGTAAGTCATTTTAATACCACTGCAATTGATATACATTATCTAGACGAGAAGAGGAAGAAAATTTACCAAGAAAAGCTCAACTTTCTCAATGACTTCAGAGCAGAGGATTACAAAGAAGACCTCTCTAATGTGGTTAAGTTCTTAAAATATGCCACATCTCTTGACGAGACAGAAGTTCCTGACTATAATTACTGAAGAGAATTATTTACTAGAGAATTGGAACTGTACGTAAAAACTAACATTTTAGTCTAGATGCTCCATTGAAATATAAAAAGGATCTATTCGAGTTTATGAGATGCTCTGATATATCATACTCAAAAAGACCGTCAATTACTTGAATTAAGGACAACCAAAGCTTTAATGCAATCCCATTCACCGGGTTTAAGACCAAAGTTATATCTATCAAGGAATCTGATGAGAATTCTAGTAAGAAAGGAGATGATGAAAGCAAAATTGAAGAAATTATTATGACCAAGAAAACTACTCTCCAGCTGCAGCAGAATCGGAATTCCGATAGAATTGTTAGGCCAAAAATGAGTAATGCTTCTTCAAGGGATTTTCATGATAGTACTTTGCCTACAAAGACACAGTCAGCATATAAGAAACACCAGGATCGGAACCGCATTACTTCAAGTCCAGGACTAGACTTCCATGCGAACCTAAATTTAGGATCTGCCGAAGATCTTCTGGGAAGTGAGGTTCTGAAGAAAATTAATGTTCCTCCCAAGGTTAACCCCCGGTTGCGAGTAATCAAAGAGGAGGAACTAAAATACACAAATTCATTTGCCTTTACCCCAAAAGAAGAATCTATTAAGAACATTGACTATGAATGAAATGACATCAAGGTGTCTTTGCCGAATCATGACTCTCCAAAGAAAAAGGAAGAGGTCAAAAGTGCATCCTCTCATTGAGAAGATCTCAAGTCTATTGAACTAACAGAGTTTTATCAATATTCCACACCTCAAGGTAAGTATTGACTAGTATCTTGTAGACTATGATTTTGATAAGGAGATCATGAATGAGGACTATGTGTTCCGACCGAAAGATCTCAGGATATATCATACTGCAGAAGTATCTGGAAGCGGTAAGGTTAGCTTTAGCTCTTAATTTTATGCAACTAATAATTTTTCAACCCCTACACATATAATTGGGGTTTTGGGGTTTTGGGGTTTTGGGG